CGCTCAATATCCTTACATTTTGCACTTTTGTCACTTAATAATTTCCCACAGCATGCAAATGTACAGTTTCAACTGCACGATTAGGCCTAACGTTAAATGTCAACTATTTGTTAATAACGCCAACTTCTGAGAGAGAGAAGCCGAGACATGAAGATGATTTACATACAAATATCTTTTATACCTTTGGTCAAAACTGCAGCGATTTTTGCAAATATTTCATTTGACAATGTACCTATTTGACTATTTTGGGTAAAACGGCAGCGTCCTCTAGGTTAAAGCGTCAATCGTAGCCCCAGCCCCTTTGAATAATAGTTGTTACTTCTCGAGGCGAAGACACATTTTGCCACAACGTTGGTTTTTTGGCTGTTATCACATTCGTTTTCACAAATGAAATTAATATATCGTATTGAACGGGAAAACCATGAAATTTTCTATTTCTTACATTTTTTCACGTCATGAGGCGAAAATATTGCTTCATCAGAAAAGCGCGGGAATTTGTAGCGTAGTTTTTGACGCCAAATTATAATGACGTCACGCTTGACAACAATACAGAGCGCCATTTTGAAAGGGTTTTCATTGCAATTTTGCCGTTTGCTAGTATTATCTGGTAAGACTACCAGACAAAAATGATATTAATTGTGTTGATATGTAAAAACAATAATGTATGCTGCAAATGTTGACAACACAACCACTTAGTCTGCCGTCACTTTATCTAAACTTGAAACTGAAAAATCTACGCAGAGAATATAATGTACCGTTCATGATCAGATTGGACAATACTAAGAGTGACTTTTTTCATTTGCGAATATATCATATTTCGTTTATCATATGTGTTTATCAGATGGAGAATTCATGATATTTCACTAGAAAACTGTACTAAATACCGATACCGTAAGGTTTACCTTCATATTTTTGTAGACCGTATGCGGCCTCAATTTCCCAGAAGGCTTTCACGCATGGGGAAGCACCGGACGTGGACAAAGTGTTTACAGATCAAACCCCGACGGCGCTTCGCGCCGCTTGGGGGTTTGAAAAAAGTTAAAACGCCGATGTTTTCTGAAGATCCTATTTTGTCATTAACCAGGTTTTCTACCGGGAGATATTTTCAAAAAGAGCCGCATTTTTTTTTTATCGTCTAACATTTCATCTGCTTTTGATTTCCATTTGTTGAGAATATGAACGAAATAATTAACATTTTTGAAAATCTGTTTATAGCCTTTACATAATTTATGTATGCATCACCACTCATAAAAGAAACAATGGATAATTCATTTATGTCGAAAACAAAATTAATTGTCCAGACAACGAACCCGCGTTCAACGCCCTTTTTTAGCAACGTATTACTATTTCACAATGCATGTCGATTTATAACTAGTTGGAGACAGAAACCGTTTAATTTTATTTGCCATTATTACCTGCCAAAACCTCAGTGACAGTTACAAAATTTTAAATTCAATCCGGTATTTTAGGATGGAACAGGAATTCTAAATATCGATATAACGACAATCTCAGTTACATCAAAGTATTACAATGTTTTCTTTTCTTAATTTCATTTTTTTTAACTAACATCTCTATACATTCACTTTTATAGACTTATCGTCAAATATGTAATATGCACTTTTTTCTAAAGCAATAACCAAACAGTTTTTTCCCACCTTATCAAGTTTCAATAATTCTTTTTGTGACCTGACGGAAGCACGCGGGGCTCGTTCGGTCATTCGATCATCCGACAGGGAAAATTAAATAATGTTCAAAAACGGACGTGCTGCCTAACTTCCCAGAACGGACTTAAATAAATATGGGCCGAATTTGCCCCGATCTCCCCTATTGTAATGTCGGTCTTAATCTCATTAGAGTTTATGTTTTATTGTTTTCTCTCGACTAGCCGACTTTAAATAAAATTTATCTTGCCTTATTCTGAAAGCAGTATTAAAATCATCTCATTCTATATAAGTAAATATCAGAGATCAACAAAAGCTTCGCTCTTTTAAGGCTTTGCCTTTTCATATTAATATAGAATCTGTTATTGGTTTTGGTTGATGGTAAGTTATTGCTCATTTTGTTCGACCATAATTACATTACAAGGTTTACGTTTCATTGAAAACACTGTTTATCGATATAAGAATGTCTCCTTGGTTATTCGGAAGTGGACAAAAATCGGCGAGGAGAAATGGCCTTATTTGTATACGACATTTTCGTACGTTTGTCAGACTACAAAAAAGACTGCTTCATGAATGAAATATATAACCGTTTTTTCAGGTATGTACAGAGCCCCCGAAGGGACATGGTAAAACATTTACTAATCCGTGCGCACGGTTTAGTAAATGTTTAACCATGTCCCTTCGGGGGCTCCGTACTTGTCTTTTTACATACTTACTAATAAAAGTTACTATCTTATGATATATTTTTCTTTTGAAATATTGAAAAACCGAGTATCGATCGTTAGTTCGTATATATATATATATATATATATGAATATCCGGAATCACCGGTTCCCAGACAGATGCATACATACTCGCCAGCACTTCCGGTGTCCACAGACAGAAGAACGTGGGCATGCAAAGAGTTCATAAGCCGGTCATTTTGTGACCCTTGGCTCGCCAGCGCTAGCCCGATGCTCTATCGCTGAGCTAAAGGGAAATTCCCTACAAATTGTAAGGCAACCTACACTCTACCAACATCAATAATATATTACTCTATCCCCCCCCCCCCACACACACATACACACACATTTTTTCGATTACTAACCCAGGTTCATTGGCTCCACATACTCCCATAACATTTTTTCTATCGGATATTCATGTTCTTCTATGCCTTGAACGGGAAGGGTCAACAGCACCAGTTTGTAGAAGGACGAGGACTACATATATGTAGTTATAAAGATAGTGCCATCACTGGGGCTCAAACCCACGACCCTTGGCTCTCCAGCCCATTGCTCTACAGCTGAGCTGATGGGGAAACTCCTACACAGCTGTTGCTTGTAAGACAGCCTAATCAATGCACATCTTTTACAATAGCATTGTCTGTCAATCTCTTGAATATGCATGCACTGTATTAGCTGCGATGAAGTAGCTTCTGACGATGAGAGATTTTTGCCCCAATGGGGTATTAATATTAGTACTAGCACTGTTTGGGACCCTTATTAATTATACAAAGACTGACATCCAACAAATCGTAATGGTGCAACATAGAGCTGCTCGGTATGTCACAAATAGGCTACGGAATATGTCCAGTGTTGGTGACATGCTGAGCAAGCTTAGCTGCGCATGCCCCTGTCTAGAAAGACGAAGTAAGAATATGCACATTTGTATACATACCTTCCATAAGATTGTACACAATCCAATTGCCATATCCAAGGACATTTTAGTTGCTCCTTCATGTGTCTCACCGGGAAGGCCCATGCTCATTCCTACCATCATGTAAAACTCAAGTCAGAAACAGACATTTTTTCCAAGAACAATATCTATAATTGGAACTGCCTTCCCCCCAGATATTTCTGAACTTGAAAAATTGACTGCCTTCAAACTAAGAATCTGTTATCATCATCTTTATTTATTCACTAGATAATTTTATTAATTAATATATATATATAATTATCTATTTATCTTTCTTCCCTCTCATTTAGAAATAATCTCAAATAACAAACAAAAGTAATCTTCAATCTGTTGAAGACAGTTATTATATCATAGAAATAGAAGTCAATATGATATGTGTGCCCAGGAATCCGTTATTCATTCACAGTACTGTATGTTTATGTGTGCTGTGATCATGATCACCCATATAAGTATAGCATAAGTGTATAAGACATTTGTAACAAACCTCTGTGATTCAATGTCAGTATAGTGTTTCTACAAAAGGCAACAAACTAAAATACACTCTTTAAGAATGCCCCAAAAGTCGCACCTATGTTTTAGATTTTGTTTTTTTCCTGGGGTGAGGGGTGGATGAGACGCATTCCCTGGAACACCCTAGATAGGTTTGTGCCCAGTGTCTTTGCTACCTTAATTAAAAAACAGCCTGTTCCTTTATCATACTTGCCAACGTTTTGAACCATGTGGGATAGATTCTGCATGCTCAAAATTAAAACATAGATAAAATGTGAGTATTAATTCACCCCTCTAGAGACAAATTTACCCTTTAGTTTAAATGACAAACCCTAAATGTAAAGGGTCCATAATCAGGAGTTGACTCCTAAGTTGGGAGGGTTGGCAAGTATGCTTTATGAATTGGAAAAATATAGCATTATTTGTATTAAAATTGGGAATATATTCCTCAGTTTTGGTCATTTTTTATTCGGCAGTAGAACTGAACAAAAAGAAAATCACTCCAGGTGCCATTTAATTCGTGCAAGGTGTAGATACAGGTCATGGCTTCAAATAATCCCCCACCTCCACCCTGGAACCTTTCAAAAACTCTTTAATGTGCTTGACTCAGTTAGGCTGTTCAATAATTCAGCTGTTATTGACCAATATGGTAGACGAAAGGCCACCCTGTTGCATTCATGGGTCCACGGAGGTCTGAAGGTACTTACATACATAAAATGTACAGTAAAATCTTGATAAACGCCCCTCATTTCATTTGCCAACTTGTTTACTGCCAAGATATTTCAGCATTCCTTAAATTTTCTCATTTTCTTAAGAATTGCTTTATGACTCTCCATCAGTTTATTGCCAAACCCTCTTTTTACACCAATTTTCTTCTGAGCAAATGGTGGCAGTATAAAGAGGTTTAACTGTGTTCTATCCTTCATGTATACTTAACCCTTTCACCACTGTAGACAAAAATGGACTCATCCAGATCAATGCATTGAAGAGTCTACTAAAGTTACATAGGGGTGAAAGGGTTAGGCAAAGTCATGCTCATGCCCTGTATCATATGAAGCTCGTATTAAACAGAGATTGATCATAAAACAGTATGTTCTAAAAAAAATTAATTTAAGAATTGGGAGATTTATATAGCTTTAAGATTTAATATCTCTGTTTTTTTCTGCTTCAGGTATAAATCAAGTGTGATGATTGTGAAAGAAGTCAATCTTTTTCCTGGGGATTAGGATCAAAACCCATAACCTTTTGTAATCAGCTGCTATGCTATGACGAGGTGAGAATCACAGGAAACAACTTTTTACAAAGATCATAAAATGTTAATTTGATTTAGTAAACTTTTCCAACTTATCTTTAGTTGTCTAACATGATTTTTATGCTGTATAGTTCAGAGGAAAATTTAACATGAGGCCCCTCGTGTATAGCATTAACTGGTCATGAATTGTCGTCAATTGTTATATATACCTTATGTGAATAGAGGGAATATCACCAAATTTGTTATAGATCATCACCAAATTTGTTATAGATCATCGGTAGGCAAATTGGTCTAAATTTTTGTATAAATGGAGAATGTGACCCTCTTGGGACAAAGGGGCAGGACCCATTATTGCAAATAAAGGAAACGTTTTTTTTTTTTAGATAATTCTCCTGCGATTCAAATGTAGGGATTTTCACCAATTTTGGTCAGGAGAACCTGCAGGAAAAGACAACTAAATTTTCAATAATGGAGGGTTGGCCCCCCTGGGAGCAAAGGATGGGGTCCTAGGGGAAAATCGAGCAAAATGTTTAAAATCCTTCTATTTCCGAACAAATGGAGGGATTTGTTTTTACCAAATTTAGTCTAGAAGAATTTTTGACAAGTGCAGTGGGATTTGGTTTATATAGAAAATGTGTGTGGCCCAAAAGGGGAAATAGAAGTAAATCAATAAAATCCTTCACCAACATTCACTCCTGGATACTACCTCCCTGGGTCATCACATGGAAATAGTTGATAAATAGATCTGAACCCCATAATTAATATAACCATATACAAAGTTGCTGGACATGCAGAATGTACTCATGTTCTGGGTTTTTAATGTACCCACTCAAACATACTGTATTAAGTCCTTCTTGTAGCTCTTTTATTTCTTGTACTCCTTTGTTAAACTGGTTTGATACTCGAACAGCAGATCAATTTAATTGAAAATAAAATACCAGGTGAGATATATTAGGCCCCTGAGCCTCTTGTTCCCTCTGAAAGGAACTGAACACAGTCACATCTAAAGGACAATTAAATTAAAATTTAAACAATAGACATATATTGTTATTAGCTCACCTGGTCTGAATGACCAAGGTACCGGTGAGCTTATGCCGTACCGTGGTATCCCTTTGTCCGTATGTCAAGAATTTCTTCAAACGATTTCTTCTTCTTAACTACTGATTGGAATTTACTAAATTTGACTGGAAGCATCCCTAGGTGGTGGGGATTCAAAATTGTACAAATGATGGGGCTGACTCATCAGGGGTCTGATGGGCTGGGCTGAAAAAGGTTATTTGGCTATATTACTTTAAGCGACCTTTTCTCTGGAACTAAGAGATGGAAATATCAACAATATTTGACTGGAAGCATCCCTAAGTGTAGAGATTCAAATTGTACAAATGTTGGGGCTGACCCCCCAGGGGGCTGAGAGTGGGGCCAAAAGGGGGCAATTTGGCTATATTGCTTTAAGCGACTTCTGTGGAACTAAGAGATGGATATCAATCATATTTGACTAGAAGTATCCTTAGGTAGTGGGGATTCAAAATTGCACAAATGGTGGGGCTGACCCCCCAGGGGGCTGAGGGGTGGGGGCAATTTGGCTATATTGCTATAAACAACTTCTTTCGTAGAACTAGACACTGGATATAAATCATATTTGGTTGGAAGCATTCATGGGAGGTGGGTATTCAAAATTGTACAAATAGTGGGACTGACCCCACAGGCTAAGGGGTAGGGCCAAAATAGTTTATTACTTGGAAATGGTTGAAATCCCCACCCTGTAACCATATATACAATTGCTGAGTATAAAGAGAAAAATGCACATATGCTTCCAGGATGACCACAAAACTAAACATAAAATTGTTGGGCATACAGAAACAAATGCTGACATGATATTAAAATTTACCCGGGGTCTGCCCCACCCTTGTAAACTTAACCCCTGGGTCATAACTTTGAAACGGTTGAGATCCCCACCCCAAAACTAGATATACAAATGCTTGGCTTAAAGAGACGAATACAGTCATGATACTGTATTAACATTGACCCTGGGGTCTGGCCACAACCCTAGGGACCTAGTTTCATAGTCATAGCTTGGAAACAGTTGAGATCCCCACCCCATAACCATACATAAACTTGCTGTGCATTAAAAATCTAATACAGATATGATACAAGGATTTAGCCTTAAGGTCTGGCCCAGTCCATTGGATCTTATTAGGAGAATATTTTGCCATGATTGCTTAGATATCCAGGTGAGCGATACAGGCCCTCTAGGCCTCTTGTAGTTATGAAGGATATCCAAATTAATCAAATCAAATGTTAATTTTAATAACAATTATTATCAGATTAACATTTTATTTTCAAAGTTAACATCACCATACATGCATGTATACATATTTTTTTTATGGGACTTGCTTTATATCTGAGATGAAAATTTTCCAATGTACTTAGTGAGGCTATGAATTTTAGACTGGTAATCTGATACATAATTATATAACTTTGTATGTTTTGGCTCTATCATTAGATTTCGCTGGACTAGTTGATGGTAAGGCTTTTCACTTACACTGCACTAACAATTCGCCCAAAAGTAAGGGGAGGTTATTAAATGAAAAACCACAGTGCGGTGAGACAGTGATCCTCAAATGTTATTATTTTTTGGGGTGTTTGGTTATGATAAGCTTTCCTCTCTTTTAATAATCAATTTAAACTAATTTAAAACTCCAGTTATGTTTGACTCCAGGAATTTCAAAGAAGCTTTAATTTGTCCTGACAAACTGACAAAGTGTTATTTTTTTGGTTGGTCAGTTAGCAACAATGTCCACCATTTTGAAAATCTATATGGTTCTCTAATTCTAGTTCTTCGGAAAGGATTGCAAAGAAAATTCATAGCAGTGTTCAGTACATTGTCCTTTTGGGTCAGACATGTATCAAAGATGGCTGCCATTTTGAAAATCAATTAAACTCCAGTTCTGCTGAAGGAATTTCAATGATATTTCATAAGTGTGTTAAGTATATTCTCCAGACAAGCTTCTGTTTTTGTAGCCATGTTTATCAGTTATCCAAAATTTCCACATTTTAAAACCTGTTTTTAACTTACAACTCTAGTTTTGTTTTTGATATGACAGAAACATGTTTCGTTTTGTTTAAATGATTATTTCCACTTTATACATATGTGACCAAATTACAACTCTGGTGACTGTATAAGTCATCTGTTACTGTTATATGAGATCATCTGCAGCTGGTATTAAAGCAGCGATATATTGTATGAAAGCATTTCCCATCCCACTTTACCATTTAAAAGTTTCAAAGTTTGTACATTATGAAGACTCAAAGTCTGTTTTCTGTCTGTTTCATGTAGGAATCAAGTGTGAATTTTGACAAACCAAAGTAAATCTTTTACCTGGGAAACCTAGCATCTTGTTATTATCAGCCTTGCTATGGAGAGATATGAGGATCACAGGAACAGATCAGATGCACAGATCATAAAATGTGAACTTAACTTAATAAACATGTCCAACTTATCTTCAATTGTGTCACATATGCAAAATTATTCAGGAAACCCCCCAAATAGATACAATCAAGGAAATAGATGAACTGGATGTGACAAGGTGTTAGAACAAATGAATAATGTAATATAATCAAACAGACTTGGAATATACAGGAGAGACATCACATTGTTTTATTTGTGATTAAGGATTTTTCAGACACTTCACCCAAAAAGACATATTAAGACTTCTACTTGTTAATCATTACACAAGAGTGATGTCTATTTCAAGTCAAGGTCTGGTTTTAGTGAAAAAAATACATGAAGTCTCATTTCCAGATACGGAATGTATGGAGGACAAGCCATACGATTGTGTTGAGAAGGCTAAAGGCGTTGTAAAGGTAAATGCAAGTACAGTAGTTAAGAGAGATAGGATTACATTTACAGGAAATAAGACATATAGGTGTGATTTCTGTGGAAAAGTATTTACATTGCGATTGAACCTAAAATTACACATCAGGACACATACAGGAGAGAAACCGTACAAGTGTGATGTCTGTGGTAGGGGTTTCAGTGCTAAAGCAAATCTGAATATACACTACAAATCACATACTGGAGAGAAGCCCTACAAGTGTGATGTCTGTGGTACAGGATTTAGTGTGACATCTCAGCTATTAGTACACCTCAGAATACATACGGGGGAAAACCCTTATAAGTGTGATATTTGTGGTAGGAGGTTTAGTCGGACAGGTGACCTTTGGATACACCTTAGGACACATTCCAACGATAAGTCATACGAGTGTGATGTCTGCGGTAAGGGATTTAGTTTTGCATCTGAGCTATTAGTACACCTCAGAATACACACTGGAGAAAAGTCCTATCAGTGTGATATTTGTAGTGGGAGGTTTAATCAGGCAGGTGACCTTCGGAAACACCTTAGGACACATTCCAAGGATAGACCATACAAGTGTGATGTCTGTGGTAAGGGATTCGGTCATAAATGTATCTTAAAGACCCATCTCTGGACACATACAGAGGAGAAACCATTCAAGTGTAATCTCTGTGATCAGGGTTTTATTCAGCCGGGCAACCTAAAGAAACATCTGAAGTCAAGACATACAGGTGAGAAGCCTCACAAATGTGATTCCTGTGGAGAAAGATTTTCTCAGCTGGGTAACCTACATGTACACCTCAGGACGCATAAAGGAGAGAAACCCTACAAGTGTGATATCTGTGATAAGGGGTTTTGTGTGGCATCTCGCCTACCAATACACCACAGAATACATGCTAAAGAAACGCCCTATAATTGTGATATTTGTGGTAAGAGGTTTAGTGGGAAAAGTGACCTTCAGATACACCTTAGGACACATCCCCAAGACAAGCCATACAAGTGTGATTCAAGTGGTAAGGAGATTGGTCAGAAACCCAGCTTAAAGTTTCACCTCTGGACACCGACAGAGGAGCATCTATTCAGGTGTGATTTCTGTGATAAGCGGTTTGCTCGGATAGGTAGCCTAAATGTTCATCTGACGACCAAACATGCAGAGGAAAAGCCGCATAAGTGTGATGTCTGTGGGACAGGCTTTTCTGTGTTGCAAAGTCTGGAAAAGCACCTCAGGACACATGCAGGAGTGAAGCCATACAATTGTAAACTCTGTGATAAGGTGTTTAGTAGGAAAAGTCACCTAAATAGACATTTGAGGACCAAACATACAACAGAAGAAAAGCCACACACGTGCGACGTCTGTGGAACGGGGTTTTCTGTGTTACAAAGTCTTAAAGAGCACCTCAGGACGCATGCAGAAGAACAGCCGCACAAGTGTGATGTCTGTGGTAGCGAGTTTTCTGCAATACTAAGTCTAAAAGAGCACCTCAAGACACACTCTATAGATATACAGAAGCCATACAAGTGTGAGCTCTGTGGTAAAGCATTTACTCAGAGCGGTTCCTTAAAGTGCCATCTCATGATACATACAGGAGAAAGGCCTCATAAGTGTGATATCTGTGGAAAAGGGTTTATCATAAAAAAAGAGCTTCAGAATCACATCAGGACACATACAGGAGACAAACCATACATGTGTGATGTCTGTGGTAAGGGGTTTACTCAGTTAGGATCCCGAAATAAACACCTCAAGTCAAAACATATGAAAGAGATGAACTGCAAATGTGATATCTGCTTTAAGGAGTTCAGTTGCCCTGCATACCTACAGAAACATTCCCAGGTACATGCAGGAAAGCCCCATATTTGTGATGTCTGTGGTAAAGGGTTTAGTAGACAAAGTGGCTTAAAGGCTCACCTTAAGTCACATACTGGAGAAAAGACACACATATGTGATGTTTGTGGAAAGAGGTTAGCATCTTACAGTAGCTTACATAAACACACCAGGATACATACAGGAGAGAAGACTTGTGATGTCTGTGGTAAGGCATTTGGAGACGCAACTTGCCTAAAAAGTCACCTACTGACACATACAACAGAGATGCCATACAAGTGTGATGTCTGTGGAAAGAGATTTAAACTTTCACCTTGGTTAAAGGTGCACCTCAGAACTCACACAAGAGAGAAGCCATACAAGTGTGATATCTGTGGTAAAGGGTTAAGTGCGGCTAGTTACCTTAAGAAGCACCGCATGAAACATAATGTACCGTGTAGGCTGTGAAAGGTTTCAACCAATGCAAAAATGATGATCATTAGCAGGCGACGCGCTAGTACTAATAATGAAACCAGGCCTCCTCTGCCCCGGCCGGGTATTAAATCAATCCCATGCCTTGTAATGGAGCAATCCAAGTGTGAGTCACAATGGGGCGATTTCAAAATTAATTAGCAGCACATTGGTCCGCATCCATAAATAGGGTTGTAGTATGAACTATTTCTGTTGATATCCTGTATAACTTAAGTTAAACTCTGCCTAAAATGTCGTTAAATTATCAAGTAAATGTAGCAAGAGCAATTGAAATCTGAATTGTCCGCCATGTTGGAAAGTTCGTCTCTCTTCCGATATAGGTCATCAGTCGTCTTAATATGGGTGACATGATCACCCAATAAGGAAATTGTAGTAAACATGGCAGCACCAGTAGTAATACTATTGGCCATATATAGAAAGAATAATTGAGACAACATCACGCTTGATCTGTCATGGCGATCGTTTCTATTCTTTTCCCCAAGATGGACTTGGTTAATTTGTGAAAGAGTTTTTTTCTTTGGTAAGGATTCAATTTTGCAATATTTTGATATTATAACATTATACTCATATGAGGCGTGAATTATATGTAATCTTACAGATTAACACTTTTGATTTTGCTCCATTAGTTGGCATAGGACCGTTTTGTAAGCTCTGACGACGCAATATATAAAAAAAAAAATCACATCGTCAGAAAGCTATGTTATCGCAGCTAGCGACATGCAAAGGAGAGACAACGAGTCGATCGATCGACGATCAATAATACTTTCGACAATTAACAATCTGATGCAATTTCGTTTTAGACAAGATTCTTGTTTGACATTAATTGAGGAATGATTACTATCATTAAAGGACTATGCACCAATACCATATTTTTATGTATAACAATATATATAAATATAACAGGAAGCGTAAACATACAAAAAGTGATGTCTAACATCATTTTGAGAAGCACGTATATATACTAAATGGCATGATCATATTTGATTATTTTAGCTCATCTGGCACGAAGTGCTAACTGAGCTTATGGTATGTTGTGTTGTCCGTCGTTCGTCAAATTTTTCTTTGAATGACTTCTTCTTGAAAGCTGGATGACCTAGGGCCATGATATTTACAAACGACCTTGACCTTCTTTCGATATCACAGAGTTCAAAATTGTAAAAACATTTGAACATCTTCTGCATAACAAAGAGCCATAGAACAACAATATTTGGCCATTTGGTACCTGAAACAGATTGCTATAAAGTTAACTGAACTAAATGATCTTGACCTACTTTCAAGGTCACAGGGGTCAAATACGTGAATTTAAAAACCTTAAAACTACTTTTTAACTCACCTGCCTGAAGGGCAAGTGAGCTTATGTCATGGTGCGCCGTCCATCGTCAGTCCGTCGTCCGCCAACTTTTCCTTTAAACAACTTCTGAAGAATGAACAGGCATAGAGCCATGATATTTGATTGAAAGCTTCGTTGGTAGGAGCCAGACAAAGTTTGAGAAGGAAAATGACCTTGACCTACTTTCAAGGTACCAGGGGTCAAATTTGTCAAACACTTCAAACGACTTCTTCTGAAGAATTGAAAGGTATAAAATCTTCAAGTTTGGCTGTTGGCTTCCTGAGATAGAGCCCCACAAGGTTTGAGAATGAAAATGACCTTGACTTACTTTCAAGGTCACAGGTGTCAAATATGTCAAAAACATCAAACGACTTCTGAAAAATTGAAGGGCATAAAATTATAATATTTGCTGTGGCTTACTGGGATAGAGCTCGAGCTCACCAAAGTTTGCAAATGAAAATGACCTCAACTTACTTTAAAGGTCACAGAGGTCAACAACATTTCAAAGGATTTGTTCTGAAGAACCAAAAGGAATGGATTCATAAGATTTGGCTGGTAGCTTTTTGGGATAGAGCTAACAATGTTTGAGAAGGAAAATGACATTGACCTACTAACAAGGTCACAGGGAAAAATATGTCAACTTCTGAAGAAGAACGAAAAAGCAAAGAATCTTATAATAATATTTGGCTGGTAGTTTCCAACAGATGGAGCCGACAAAGTATGTGAGGGAAATATTTGTAGTGCAATGTAATATTTAATGAGAATATTTTGCTATGACTGCTTAAATATTCAGGTGAGTGATACAGGCCCTCTGGACCTCTTGTTTAGAATAACCAGAAGACCCAGAGTACTGATATTTGGCCAGTAGGTACCTGGGACAAAGCGATATGAAGTTTCCTCAAATCAATGACCTTGGCCTACTTTGAGGTCACAAGGTTAAAAAGGGCTAAAAACCTTCAAAGATATTTTGAATAACCTAGAGGCCTAGAGCAATATTTGGCCAGTAGGTACCTGGAACAGAGTGCTATAAACGTTCCGCAAATAAATGACTTTGACGTACCTAAAAGATCACAACGGTCAAATGTGTTGAAAGCTTTAAACATCTTCAGATTCACCAAGAGGCACAGGGTACTCATACTTGACTTGTAGGTATCTGGAACAGAGTGATATAAAATGTTCTCAAATAAAAGACCTTGACCTACTTTCGAGGTCACAGGGTCAAATATAACTTTCAAACAAGTTCTTCTGATCAACCAGATGGCCCAGCGTAATAATACTTGGCCAGTAGGTAAATTGTACCTGGGACCATTTGTGCTATTAGCTTTCCCTTAATAAATTACATTTACCTACTTTCAGGGTCACTTGGTCAGATATATAAATATCTTAAACAACTTCTTACACAATACCAGGAAGGTCTAGAGGATGACATTTGACAAGTCACCTGCTGGGATAAAGTGATACAAAGTTTCATTTAATCTGGAACATTCCTTAAGCCAAGGGGTTCAAATTGTATTAAGCGACGCAAAAATCGCCATGCATTCATAGATAATCTTCACTGTATGAGCGAGATGACCCGAAAAATCCCAAAAGAATCTTGAACATCTCTGTGGGAAATGGTGTGTTTTTATACGCCCATCAAATTTGACGGGAGTATTATGGTATGGCGTTGTCCGTCTGTCCGTCCGGTGTAAACTTTGTTTGTCCGGCAATCTCCTCCAACATATTTCGACCGATCTATTTGAAACTTGGTATACATTATAATCATGAAATGAAGTTGTGTCTCCCTTAAAGAATTTTGATTCGATGATTTTTCCAAAAGTTATTGCCCTTTGTTCATTTCTTCTGAAGAACGGACATGCCTAGAGTCATGATATTTGACTGAAAGCTTTGTTAGTAAGAGCCTGACAAAGTTTGAGAACGAAAATGACCTTGACCTACTTTCAAGGTCACAGGTCAGGGGTCAAATATGTAAAAAACTTCAAACAACTTCTGAAGAAGAACATAAAGGTATAGAATCTTCATATTTGGCTGATAAATTACTGGGATGGAGCTCAACAATGAATGGGAATGAAAATGACCTTGACCTACTTTCAAGGTCACAGAGGTCAAATGTGTCAAACACTTTAAACGACTTCTTCTGAAGAACTGAAAGGTATAGAATCTTTATATTTGGCTGGTGGCTTCCTTGGATTGAGCCCAACAAAGTTTGAGAATGAAAATTAGTTTGACCTACTTTCAAGGTCAAAGCAGTCAAATGCTTCAAACGACTTCTTCTGAAGAACTGAACAGTATAGCATCTTTATATTTGGCTGGTGGCTTCCTGGGATAGAGCCCGGCGAAGTTTGTGAATGAAAATTTGTTTGACCTACTTTCAAGGTCACAGGAGTCAAATAGGTCAAATGCTTCAAACGACTTCTTCTGAAGAACTGAACAGTATAACATCTTTATATTTGGCTGGTGGCTTCCTGGGATAGAGCCCGACAAAGTTTGAAAACGAAAATGACCTTGACCTACTTTCAAGGTCACATGAGTCAGATATGTCTAATGCTTAAAACGACTTCTTCTGAACAACTGGAAGGTATAGAACCTAAAAAGTTGGCTTGTAGCTTTGTGGAAAAGAGCCCAACAAAGTTTGAGAACAAAAATGATCTTGACCTACTTTTAAGGTCACATTAGACAGATATGTCAAACACTTAAAACGACTTCTTCTGAAGAGCTGGAAGGTATAGAACCTTAATATTTGGCTTGTTGTTTCCTGGGAAGGAGCCCAACAAAGTTTGCGAATGAAAATGACCTTGACTTACTTTCAAGTTCACAGCGTTCAAATATGTGAAATGGTTCAAATTACTTCTGAAGAAGAATTAAAAGGCATAAAATTATAATGTTTGGCTGGTGACTTCCTGAGATAGAGTTCACCAAAGTTTGCGAATGAAAATGACCTCAACCTACGTTAGAGATCACAGAGGTCAACAACATTTTAAAGGATTTGTTCTCAAGAACTAAAAGATTCATAAAATTTGGCTGGTAGCATTTCGGAAAAGAGCCAACCAATTTGAGAAGAAAAATGACATCGACCTACTTACAAGGTCACAGGGAAAAATATGTCAAGCAACTTCTGAAGAAGAATAAAAAAGCATAGAATCTTATAATAATATTTTGCTGGTAGTTTCAACAGATGGAGCCAACAAAGTTTGCGAGGGAAATATTTTTAGTGCAATATAATATTTAATGAGAATATTTTGCTATGCCTGCTTAAATATTCAGGTGAGCGATACAGTTATTGCCCTTTGTTCATTTCGGTATTTGATTTTTGTTCGTAGATCTTCTACATTTTTCGACTGATCTCTTTGAAACTTGGTATACTGTATAATCATGATATGTTGATTCGACAATTTTTCCAAAAGTAATTGCCCTTTTTAGCTCACTTGCCCTTCGGGCAGGTGAGCTTATGTCATGGTGCGGCGTCTGTCGTCCGTCCGTCATCCGTCCTCGTCCGTCAACTGTAGGAGCCTGACAAAGTTTGAGAACTAAAATGACCTTGACCTACTTTCAAGGTCACAGGGTTCAAATATGTCAAATGCTTCAACGACTTTTGAAGAACTGAACAGTATAGCATATCTATATTTGGCTGGTGGCCCACTGGGATAGAGCCCGACAAAGTTTGAAAACGAAAATGACCTTGACCTACTTTCAAGATCACAGGAGTCAGATATGTCTAATGCTACAAACGACTATGAACTGGAAGGTATAGAACCTTAATATTTGGCTGGTTATTTCCTGGGAAAGAGCCAAACAAAGTGTGCTAATGAAAATTACCTTGACTTACTTTCAAGGTCATAGCGTCAAATATGTCAAACGGTTCAAACTACTTCTGAAGAAAAATTAAAAGGCATAAAATTATAATATTTGGCTGGTGACTTCCTGGGATAGAGCTCACCAAAGTTTACTTCAGAGGTCACAGAGGTCAACAACATTTTAAAAGATTTGTTCTTAAGAACTAAAAGGAATGGATTCATTAGATTTGGCTGGTAGCTTTAAGGAATAGAGCTAACCAATTTGAGAAGGAAAATGACATTGACCTACTTACAAGGTCACAGGAAAAATATGTCAAGCAACTTCTGAAGAAGAATAAAAAACATAGAATCTTATAATGATATTTTGCTGGTAGTTTCAACAGATGGAGCCAACAAAGTTTGCGAGGGAAATATTTTTAGTGCAATATAATATTTAATGAGAATATTTTGCTATGACTGCTTTGATATTCAGGTGAGCGATACAAGCCCTCTTGGGCCTTTTGTTTATATGCATGCGGAAAATAGTGGTTTTAGCTCACCTGCCCGAAGGGCAATTGAGCTTATGCCATGGTGCGGCGTTCGTCGTCCGTCCGTCGTCCGTCTGTCCGGCGTCAACTTTTTACTTTAAACTTCTTTTCAGTAACCAAAAGGCCGAGGATGATGATATTTGGCCAGTAGCATGCTGGTATCAAGGGCTACAAAGTTTGTTCAAATGAATGACGTTGACCCACTTTCAAGGTCACTGGGGTCAGATGTCTTAAAATCTTCGAACAACTTCTTCTCAATAACCAAAAGGCCCAGGGTACTGATATTGGGCCTGTAGCATGCTGGGATGAAGGGCTACCAAATTTGTTCAAATGAATGACCTTGACCCACTTTCAAGGTCACTGGGGTCAGATTCTTAAAATCAATTTAAAAGATTTATGGGAAAAGTGGAATTTCATTGAGAAGCAGCGGTTTTGCAGCAAGAATTGTCCAGGATTTTTAGG